CCCCAAAACCCCAAAACCCCAAAACCCCGAATGGTAAAAATAGATCTGGCTTGAGAATATTGAGATAAATTATAAAATTCTAAGATGGATAATTTTGAAAAGTAAAATGAATAAACAGATTATGATGAAAGTTTCTCAGACGACTCTCACTCAGATGATCTTCTATATTAACTCATTTTCGGTTAGAAATAAAGCTCCTAACTATCTAAATGAAGCACAAGAAATGAATACCTAGTTAATCTCTCTACTACTCTCATAGACCCAGTAATAATAATGTTGATATAACTAAATTTTTAGTCTAAAAAACGAAGGAATAATTCGAATAATCGCAGATTAGCATTAAAAAGATTGAGAAATGCTTCCACTTTTAAAAAACCTCAGTCGACTGGAATCAAGGGTAGACCTCCTAAGCTACCTGTAGTTCAAAAAGAAATGAGTATAGATTCCCATTCTCAGAATAAATGTAAACAGAGAAATATTATTGATCGACTTTCATCGAAATCGACGAAATCTTGACATTTTATTTAGAATTTATTTGCAATATCTAAGGCTGTGAAAAATTATTCATGGATAGTTCATCTTTTCGCAAGCATGTTATCACTCATGGTGAACGCCAAGTAAGTCTAAGAACTATGTTTTTAAAAATTGATGAGCAATATCTATTTGGATACCTTAAATTAAACTAAACTCTTTATGGTTATAGTATCTATGCACTGTGAACGGTTGTGGTAAAAAGTTCTTGGACAATTCTAAGCTTAAGAGGCATTAACTTGTACATACCGTAAGTGTCACATTTTTTATAAAATTTGTAATTAGGGCGAGAAACCTTATATTTGTGGCCTTTGCAATAAAAAATTTTCATTGGATTTCAATCTCAAAACTCATCTCAGGACTCACACAGGAGAGAAGCCTTATGTTTGTAATTACCCAGGTAAATAAGATGTATATATTTAAGTAGTTACAGGATGCAATAAGAGATTCACTTAGAGCAGTAATTTGACAGCCCATGAAAAAACTCATACTTCGAATAAAGATTATGTTGGTACTTCACTAAGTCATTATGAAGGATCCTATTCAACAAAGTAATTTAAATAGCTGATCTTAATAGTTAATAAAGAGTAGGAGTTCATAGTGAAGAACACTTTGATGAATTTCTAATTAACAAGGACCAGGAATATTTGAGGGAAACTGAGAATAAAACTTTCGCAATAGTTTTTAAGCCAAGGCCAAAATGTGTGGTCCACAAAAGTCTTCTTGAATTGCTTAAAGAAAATCAGTCATAAAAAGAGAAAAATGACAGTAGTATTAACCTAATATCTTAAAATCTGAATGATTTTAGAAAAGCATCAGAGATATCTGATGATAGACACTATTGTCATTCTACAGCTCTGATTGATCACTCAGAGAATAATATTCATAGAATGTCAGATATAGCACCAGAAATTATTAAGGATAGAACCATATCTGCACATAATTGCTAAGAATTACAGTACTAATCAGAATAACTTTCAGCTTAAAAAGAGTAAAATCTCGAAAATCCTTAATAAAATAAATACCAAGAATGATCGAATATTTATTTAACCACTTATACTTACTGTGCGAGAATACTGCAAGTCTATATATAGTAATCATACTTTTATAGTAGCTCTTCGTAAACTCTATTCATAATTTTAAAACCCTCTATTTTATCATTAATTTTATATTTATATTAAATATTCATATTCGGGGTTTTGGGGTTTTGGGGTTTTGGGG